TATTCTATTACTTTAGACTTTCATTTGACAGGCCGAACTACCTTTTCTATTACTATCGTACTAGTATTGTGTGTGATTCATTTATAATTGTGGCACGAGTTACCGTAACTGTTTGGTCTTCTTTCTTCGAAATATCCTCTGTTCCTTTTGTCAAAGTGGTGCACTCAGGCTGACTCAATTACTGTAGAACCACGCTTTGACGAAATAAATTATTATTCTTATCTTCTTTCTATTGTTAGTCTTACTCTAACATATTAAACGTTAGGTCTATCACTTCTACGATAGTTAACTTCACGCCGAACTTTTCCTTGCTCGTAACTTTACTCTTTTCTGCTATTGTATGTTTGCTGTTTCCGCTTGTCTCACATTATATCTTTATCAATTAATCGTCAGCCAGCCTTCTAGAGATCTCTATATTCTTGACGTCAATGTATTGCGCGCCATGTTCGATAGTCTCAACATCGATGACTTATAAATTAAAAATAAAAAAAAACTTCCTATGAACATCTGCTTTTAACTCTTATTACAAAAAAAAACTAAACAATAAAAGAAATATTCACTCACAAAAATAAATTAACCAACAATATCTAAAAATAAACAGTGTTTTATATCATACCTGCCCATCAGCATAGGTAATTAAATAATTACATTTCTACGTATAAAGATTATAATGCATTGTTTCATCACTTGGGTACCCTTGCTTTAAACGATATTTTTGGTACTCCTAACATCTCGCGAGGTTCATCCAACTTAGAAGATCTAGGTTAGTCCTAATTCCATATATTAAGCTAACAATGCAAAAAAAAACAAAAAAACTTCATAACAATAACATTATAATAAACAGACTAAAATAAAAAGTAATGGTATTTGATAGAGTAAAGTAACAAACAATATCGGTGAAAAAGAAACGTGCAACATATACGAAATCATTAAATAGTTGGTCCGATATATAATATGGAATAATGATAAAGGCCTGCTTATTATCATTGACAGAAAAATGTCACTAATTAGCACCAAACCGTGCTAACTATTGGTAAATAGATGTCGAAAACAAAAAGAATATTATAGAATTAAGTAGCTGTGCAATTTGAATAATATTCTGAGTGGCAAATTGCATACCAAGCTCTGCCTTTGGTGAGAGCCCGACAGATCCGTTGAAAGTCTACAAGTAAAAGTTAACTCTTAGTTCATTAAGAATGAAACATTATTCACACAATTAAATTATTTAAGGTTTTAATTTACTGGTGATTAAAAAAAACCAATAATTGTACAATATTGTTTCAAAATACTGGAATCGGAGAGATATAAATAATCACGGTGCTCATTAAACAATAAAACCGCTTATAATTTTATTTTGATCTTGTTGTTGACTTAAAATTTAGAAACTTTCAATGATACTTGAATTTTGACACA